ATTCTGATGTCTGTGGTTATTTAAACATTCCCTGATAAACGTTATTTCAGCGTCAATAAATGAGTGTTAATCCCAGTGTGTTTAGTGTGCAACATCACATGTCATTTCACCTTCAATTCACGGTTTTCAAAACGTTAGCCACATGCTAATGCTAACCGGAAATGAAGAATTTTCAGAATAAAAGTGTTAAGTTAATAGTTAGTGTGAACTTCCGGTTTTTTCAGAATAAAACTGCTTTATATTAAAACCCTGTATTTAATTTAAATTACGTCATATCAACATTGATTTTAATTTCTTACAGTAGGAGAGGTTTTGGGGTTTAGGTTTGGGAGGGAGGAAGGAAGATTAGGATTAGGTAAAAAGGTAGGGAGTGGTTAGGGTTAGGATGGGGGGAAGGGAAGGGTTAGATTGAAGGGAAGGAAGAGAACTGCTACCCCGGAAACAGGATGCAACGCGTCATCAGTGAAGCTCGTCACGTGCCTCAAAGGTTGAGAAGGAGGGGCCGTCCCGTCACGTGCCTCAAAGGTTGAGAAGGAGGGGCGTTGAGGCTCCGCCCATGTTGAGCTCCCGCCCATCTTGAGGTGCACTGCAGTGAGGGGCTTCTCTTTAGGACAGAGAGTGAATACACATACTTTACAGAAATGCTGTATGAGAAACCAATGTGAGTTTGGTACATTGAACAATGTAAATATATTCTAGTAGACCTCAACAATGGAATTATGATCAGTAGAAATGACCATGACATGGGACCTTTAAGACTTGATCATATTTCACATCATTAATCCAAATCTGCAAAGTAACTAAAGGTTTAATTCGAAATGTAGTGGAGTAGAAGCAAAAAAAAAAAAATACTCAAGTCAAAGTACCTCAAAATTGTACTTAAGCACAGTACTCAAGTAAATCTACTTAGTTTCTTCTCTGATAATACTGAATGTTTCTTGTTTTTTGTAGGTCATTGTGGATTTAATGTGTATTGTCTCCTCAAATTAAATAGTTTTGACAAATTTGGATTCCAAGATAGAAAGTGATAATTGTTGAGTTGTCAGATAAAATAATGAAAACAGATGTAAACATTTATTTAAAAAAAGAAAAAAAACTGTATTCAGACTCTTCACAAGTTATAGCATACAAGTTTTTGTTCATTTTTATTGAGGACCGGGGCTAAATATAACTAATTTTCAAGAGTCGGAGAAAACACCAGCAGATGTTGGACAGAAGGAATGTTGTGGTGGGGGAAGTGAGTCATGAGGAAAATGTCTCATGGCTTCAGCGTTTTGTTTTCCCTCGAAGAAGGAAAGTGGTGCCTCTGTGCTGCTGTCTTGTGCCAGCACTGTACTCCTCCCTTCAGTTTACTGCAGACTCTTGAATACCTCCGTCAGTTGTGTTCTCTCAGAGTGTTTCCTCCTGAGGGCAAACTGACTATCTGCCCAAAGCTGGCTCCTGAATGTGCCATTAACGTGTTCTTGAAAATGTACATCAGACAGGGGACAAAATATTTGAATGTTTCCAAAAGTGAAGGAAATATAACTTTGAGTATGTTCAAGTTGGACACGAAAAAACCTTATTTGAAAGACAATCATGGGACTAATTTTAAGAAAATAATATTGTTGATGCCAATACATTTCAGTCCCTACAAAGAAACAAGCTTTCCCATGATGCCACCAATTTGAACTTTATGTTATACCATGCCTTCATTGTAAATGTCTGTTCAAACTTCAAGCTCCCAGTCTGTAAAAAAAATATTTCTGTTAAAAATGGTAAAATATGTTTTTCCTTTCCTTCAAAATGAAATAGTTGGAGTGGAGTATTTGAACAGAGAGCCGTTTGCATGTAACAGGAAGCGAAAGGAGTACCTGTAACACTAACCTGATCAAGAAAATAAATGTGGAATGATTATCAACTTCATATATATTTTATATATACAGCTCTGGGAAGAATTAAGAGCCCACTGCAGCATTATCAGCTTTTTTACTATTTATAGGTATCTGTAAAATGAAAATGTTTTTATTTTATTCTATAAACTACTGACAACATTTCTCTGTTTTGGAATTCAACAGACACTGGAATGGAATGGCTGCAATAGATTGAGATTGAAGAACATTTTCGAGTGGTCCCTTTTTTCTCTCGCTCGCTCACTCAGTCGCTATAGCGTACATTTATCCCACTTGCTCTAATTTATTTTTGCCATGAAAGGCCTTCTGATATAGAGGCCCAGTCAGAAAGTAAAAAACAAATGTTTTACTATATCTATTCATAACAACTTTGCTTGAGCTAGATGGATAACATCATGGGGTTGAGGAACGATGTGGAGGGGAATTCATCAGGACTTAGGAAAGATAAGATCAGACTGCACAAACTGCAAAACTGTGGATGTTTTCTACATGAGTCTGCTGTGGTGAAACTACAATTGTCCATACATGGACTACAAGAAATGCTTCTAGAAACCCTGAGCTTTCCTTTTAGTTTTTTTTACTTCAGTTCCATAGACATGCCGACTGGTGCAATTTGGGGTTAGATATCTTGCCTAAGGACACTTTGACATGTTTTCAGGAGGTGGGATCAAACAGCTGACAGGGTACCAACCCCCTACAGCTATAGAATCGTGAACAACAGTGAAAAAAAGAACTTTATTAGCAAGTTTGGAAAATAAATAAAAAAGGGAAGTGACAGCAAAAAGTTGTTACATTAAAAATGGTTGCTTGTGCTCACCCTACTGTCCACTTAAATAATTGACATGAATCCCGATTACAAAACTTTATCAAAACAATTGCATCAATAACACTTCATGCGATATATGCATTACTTGTGAATCTTACAAATCTACTACTTTGCATATCGGTATTCAACATGTTGATTTTTCGAACTAAAAAGAGCTTATGAACCTCCACATTAACAACACTGAAATGTCGACTTTTTATTTGATCACTTTACAAGTAGTTAGCGTAACATCCATAGTTTGCCTTTTGGTTACACATATTGGTGAAAGTTCCAAACATAAAAGCCCTTTAGCAGGTTTAAGCATAACATGTTATATGCATCGTAGGCACTGTAACTTCCATGATCTGCGTTTGTGAGTCATGATCAGATGTTTTCGTAGAAAATCGATTGGTGCGTCACTTTGAATGTTCAAGCTGCAAGGAATTGTGGGAGAAGATTATCTCCTTTCCTTTTGTTGAGGATGGTCCAGTGTATCCTATGCTAGAGGAGATAATAAAGGAAGCATTGAGGCTCCTCCTCTAGAGGAAAGCTCTTGCCATGGCTGCTACTTAGAAACTTCCGGGTCATTTTACTCCATGAGGAACCTTCCTGAGAGACTACTGGACCTGAGTCTGACCTGTTTTTTTGTTTCAGGCCCGGGACTGGTCATGACAAAGCAGGAGTTCAAGGAGAGCCTGGAGGCGTCCCTCTCCTGGATGCGGGTCGTCCAGGAGAGGCTGAAGGCCAACGACAACACACAGGGGCCCCGTGACGCTCTGGAGGGCCGACTCAGGGAGACAGAGGTGAGATACTTCACCTTCTATTGGACCCTTTGGTGACCCCTGACCCCTGATGCTACTTCAGTCTTTCATTAGACTCCAGAGTGGGACAACTGCTCTTTAAACGGAGTAGAGTGTTTGAAGTAACTTCCAATTTCTCTTGATATGTTACTATATATAGAAATACAATTAAGAAATCACAGAGAAAAATTAATATTCCAGAAATCCCCCATGGCATACATCCTCATAAGAAGGGGAATAAAACACACCACTGGATTAATGGCAGACCTTCAGAAACAAAGTGCCTGCAGACTGTTAAAGATGCAAAGTGTAATATCTAGCATTAGCTCTATAGAAAATATGGGGCAGCATCTACTACTGGGTCCATACAATCTCGATTTATAGTAATCCGTTTGAAAAGAAGAATCAAAATACCAAACGGCAACAAAGCGAGACTATGCAAATTCCATTTAAGTGCAGACTGTTGAGGCCAATCAAGTAAAAATAACACAGCTCTCTGAGAATGTTCACGTGTGGGTCTATATTAAAGTAAGCCAGTGTTGTGTTAAATCTTTGTAGTGGCATACATTTAATGGTGGTTCTACAACTTCCATGTCAGTCCGTCATGTCATTGGGCTCAAACATTTGTTTTGATTGACGTAAATCCATATGCCAGGAAGATCACTTTAATAACCCTCATTTGCATCCTACGGGTGTAAAAGATGTGAAACGTGCCAAAAGAAAAAACATATATATGGGCCCATATGATCTGGGTACTTTATTTCTCAACAATCAGGCAATTCTACCTTCATGCGCCACTAAGCAACTTTCATAGGACCCCGCCTCAAAGGCTGTATCCACCTCTCTTTACACATTGTGCACAGTGCAGACTCAATATCACTGCTATAGGCACAAGGGCTATTTCAGTGAGCATGCTTATTCAATTAGAAACATAACATATTGACGTCTTTGACATAACTGTAGCCTTTTCACATTCTGGTGATATTCTTAGTTAACCTTTGAACCCCTTCTAGTTAATTCACAGGCATGTTACCATTTGAGGGTAGTGCTTCTAGATACTTCTAATGTTGTTTACATTCTACATTGACTGTTAACGCTGCTCCCTGTGCTCTGATGAACAGAAAATCCACCACTCGGTGCATGAGGGCCGTCTGAAGATGGACAAGGCGCTGGTGGCAGCTGAGAACCTATTGAAGAGCGAAGATGAAGAGCTGAGGAACCACACCCACGCTAAGCTCAAAGACCTGAAAAGCCTGTGGGAGGAGACCTCCACCTACATCATCCACTGTCACAGGTGCTGCACACTACAGCTTACATGATCTGCAATAATATCAGGAAGAATCATGTGACATGACGGGTGAACTTTAGGATTTTAGCCTTTACAGATCATTAACATGCACACAAATCTATATACAGGGTGTCCGCGGGGTCTTAAAAAGTATTAAAAGTTGATAAATAAATTTAGCGAAAATTAAGGCTATTAAAAAGTATTAACAAATATTAAATGGAATTTTCCAAGGTATTAAGAAGTTCCACAGCAACGAAAACATGAAACACCCTTTAATTGACTGAAACGACATGTCGGGAAACCCCCCAAAGCGGCCCCATGCATAGCGCGCCGTAAAATGCTGCTTCTTATTTTAAGTTTCGTTGCCTTGCTCCGCTCTGTGGGGGGGGGGGGGGGGTCCCAAGGTGGGTAGACCGGCACACGCAACGCTCTGGGGGTCCAACGGCTCCGTGTGTAAGCCCTATATGATCATTTTCTGATAACGATGAAATAGCCCG